GTTTTTTAACTGATTCCAAGCAAAGAAGCATTCCAATGCAATACTATATTGTTGTAGTTACTGTTATAGTCCCTTTAGTTATCTTGACTCCTGGATTTTACATAGATAGGTCCATGTGGTTTTTTGGCAACATTTTCAGAATGGTTCACCAATACCTTCTTAGGGATAAGAGAACAAGATTGTTTCCAAATTCCAAGTCATCCAATGGCCTTTGTGTCATGGGGGAATAAAATCCTGATGTCCCTGTCCTAATCCAGCATCTTTAACCACTACACCAGACTGGCTCAAATAGCTGGATATTGTACTATTTGGGTTGCATATTTATTTTTTTATTATTATTATTATTGGTTCCCAGTTCTCACAGCCCTCTGTCCCCCATCCCCTGGAACTTGGAACCAAATAATATTGTGTGTAGGTCTTTGATAATATTGGATAAGTGTATGTGCAGCATCTGAGCTTGGTGTATGTTATTGAAATAGTGTTGTATTACAACAGTGATGTTACCTAGTCTGGTATCTACATGTCTGCAAGCACACAACCAAGCTCAGAGAACACAAAGGACTCCACAATTGCAGCTCTATTTAAATTCATTTGTAAGCAGTCCATGATAACAGCAAGTTATTAGGTGAAATACTAGAGACATTTGTTTTCCACTGATAAGGTTCTGCTGGAATGTTGCAAGAATTACTTTTATTTGCAAAGGCTGTCAATATGAATTGGGGAGGAGAAAGAGTTTATAAAATTGCAGAATGAATAGAATTTATAATTACAGCATATGCTGCAAATTGTGTACAGTGAGATATATAATTGTTTGTGTGTGTGTGTGTGTGTGTGTGTGTACTGTATATATAAAAGTAGCTCCCACTGCAATGACTGGAGATTTAAAATTCAGAGGAAATATTGAATCAGAAATTTAAAATTACACATTAATTAGTATGATGGATTGCATCCCAGGGTTCTGAAGGAGCTGGCAAATGGTATTTCAGAACCATTGTACCAAATCTTTTTTTAAATCCTAGAGCACCAAAGAACTACCAGAGGATTGGAAAGGACCTGATTGGTTCCCATTTAAAAACAAAAAAAAGGAGGGAAACAGACTCAGGAATCTACAGTCCAATCAGCCTAATATCAATACCTGGGGAGATACTGGAAAAATAATCAAAAAACAGATCTGTGAACATATAGAAACCAAGTTATAACTAGTAGCCAGCACAGGTTTGTTAGAAACAGACCCCGCCAAACCAATCTTATTTCATTCTTTTACAAAATTTGTAGACCAGCGAAATGCTGTCGACATCGTATAGACTTCAGCAAGGCATTCAACAAAGTGGAGCACAATTTACTTCTTGGTAAACTAGAAAAATGTGTGATAGACAGCATCACCACTGGATGGATTTGTAATTGACTGACAAACCTTACTCAACAAGTACTCCTTAATGGTACTACATCCATATGGAGGAAAGTAAGCAGTGAGGTACCATAAGGTTCTGTCTTAGGCCCAGTATTCTTCAATATCTTCATAAATGACTTAATGAGGGAATAGAAGAAGAACTCATCAAATTTGCAGATGATGCTAAGTTGGCAGGAATAGCTAACACCTCAGAAGGCAAGCTCAGGATCCAAAAGGACCTTGACAGACTTTAACAATGGACCAACAACATGAAATTTAATGTGCAAAACATCTAGGCAGGAAAAAACAAAGGTACAAGTACAGACTAAGTGAAACCTGGTTCAAAAACAGTAACTGTGAAAGGGACCTTGGAATCCTAGTGGATGATCACTTAAACATGAACCAGCAGTGTGCAGCAGCAGCCAAAAATGCTAATACAATATTTGGTTGTATAAACAGAAGCACAGAATTAAAATCATGTGAAATATGATAAATTATTTCTTGTGAAATAATTCTGTATACTATACCTTTCCATCATAAACCTACATTGTTGTATTGTTCATGTTTTAATTTATACATAATTTAATTATTTAATTTAAATTTAAATAATTTCTACATTCTTGCCTTTCATAAAACTGCTAGCAGATAGAGGGTTTTTCTCTCTCTCTTTTATCTAGTAACTTACAGGGATTTTGCTTCTCAAATCTTTGTATAAGTACTAGCTGTACTCAACTTATCTGGCCATCCATACCAATGAGATAAGACCAACAAAATGTCATTAGTGTAGTGTTGATCACAGTGGCCAGATAAGTGGAAGCAATAAAAATGTGTAATTGAGGAGTTAGACTTTAGGGATTAGAAGCAGGGGTGGGATTCAATTTTTTTAACAACCAGTTCTGTGGGCATGGCTTAGGTGGTGGGCGTGGCTTGGTGGTCATGTAACTGGGTGGACATGGTCATGTTATTGGCTGGGTATGGCCAACTCAACATCACTCACATTGAGGCACGCATCTCTCCGCCTAGCCTCTCATGACTGTGGGGATGTTGCAACAGTCATAAGTGTGAAAAATGGTCATAAGTCACTTTTTTCAGTGCCATTGTAACTTTGAATGGTCACTCCACACAAGCAAAGTACCAACAAAGGAAGGGAAAAAAACTCCAGAGAAGTTCCAGAGACAGGAAGTCTAGTCCTGCCAAGAATGTAATAAGGTTTAATGGAGAGGCAGTTTCTGTAAACAACACCAGAATGTTTCCTTCCTGCCTTCCTTACAGGATTAGGCCACTAATTTCTTCTAACAACCGGTTCTCCAAACTGGTTAGAATGTTAACAACTAGTTCTAGCGAATAGGTGCAAACTGGTAGAATCCCACCCCTGGTTAGGAGTTTTCAAAAAGTAAATGTGGCAATGCAGCAATGGTATTGAAGCCCCTACTGTTTGTGTATAATATATCTTGATATTCTAAGCATGTGGGTCAAAGTTTAAATTGTGATGTCATGATCACTATCGTGATTTTTGTGACATGTCCCTTCAGATGCCTTCAATTACCATATTTCATTACTTTGCTACAACATCTACTGTGTGCTAGGAATGTGATCAAGGAAGTCATTATCAGTAGTGAAGTAAGAATATTTTCTTTGTTATTTTTAGAAAGGGGGCAGGAGATAGCATTTTTGTAGATTTCCATTCTTCACATTTATTTTTGTTTTTTTTTCTTTGATGCCTTCTAGTTAGTCTTGACTCTTAGTGACTGCTTGTACTAGCTCTTGGCAAGATTCTACCTAGGCAGGAAAAACTAAAGGCACAAGTAGAGTAGATAAAACCTGGCTCAAAAACAGTAACTGTGACAGGAATCTTAGAGTCCTTGTGAACGATCACTTAAACATGAGCCAAAAGTGTGCAGCAGCAGCCAAAAAAAAGTGAATACAATCCTTGGTTGTATAAACAGAGGCATAGAATCAAAAGCACATGAAAATTGCCCTCTTCCTAGGGTTGAGAGAAAGGGCAGTGTTCAGGCAATCAGAATTCAGGAAAATTCTAGCTCATTTGCTTCAGATAGGGAGCAAGCAGGAGAACTCCCAAAGGTGCTTTTTCAAGAGGCAACTGGATTTTCTGGTCCAGAAAGTCCAGTTGCCTCTTGAAAAAGCATCTTTAGGACAACCATGACCTGGATGACTGAGAATCTCCATAGACATTAAGCTGGAGAACTGATTTCGGAAATGTTGATTGGAGAGGGTGTAGAGGACTGAAAAGGAGCAAATATAGTCATAGTATGAAACAAAGGGAAATTACCAACTAGTTTACTGTCTCCTGAAGAACAAAATTACTGACTAGTTTACTGTCCAGAAAATTACCGAGTAGTTTACTGTCTCCTGAATAAGTATTAGAACAGATGGTTAATGTTTGTGACTATTTAGAAAAGAATTTCTGACATTTCCTTGGTCAGCATAAGGATATCTAAAAGAGGTCTTTTTATGACAGAGTAACTAGTTTCATATATATCAAGGAAATGATAAGGATATAGTAAAAATTGATCTGTGAAATATTTGCCTAAGTCTCTCATCATATTATTGTGGATATGATAAATAAATATAGCATAAAAAGTACTACATATTAATAGTTTTACAAATGGTTGAACAACTGAACCTAAAGGGTTTTAATAAATGGTTCTGCACTGATCTGGAGAAAAGTATAGTCTCCCAAAACTCTGTATTTGGCTTTTGCTGTTTGCTAACTTTACAAGAAACTGAAAGAATGAAATGAAAGGGATGCATTTTTAATCTGGATGATGCCAAGAAAGGAGATTGGTTAATATGACCAATTATTCAAAAAGGTTAGGAAAAAAATACATGGGAGAAAAGAATTTAGAGCTTCTAGTGAACTAACAGCTGGACATCAGCAAGCAGAGTGATGCAGCAGCTTAAAATGGCAGTAAAACCTGAAGCTACATTAATAGAAGCATTCTGTCCAGTTTTGTGTGCAGATCTTCCATCCAGATCATTTGCATTTTCAGATATCAGAGAAGTATCATTGGTATAATGTAGGTTATTGATGTTTCTTTCTCCACTTTTGATACCAGATTTCTCTTCTTCCACTCCAACTTCCTTCAATATATACAGTATTCAGCACATAAGTAAAATAAACAAGAGAAGCCAAGGACTAAGGGATGTGTATACAGCCTTGTCTTATTCTTAGGCTACGCTGCTTTGCTATATTCTGTCCAGGCTGTGGCTTTCTGTCCCATCCATATACGGATTTTGCATATATGGATTTTGCATCCCAGTGGTTCTGGGATTCCCAGTTCTTCAAGGTCATTCCACAACTTGATATGATGACATTATCAAGGCTTTTCTATAATCAATAAAGCACATATTTATTTGTTTGCATTTTTTTTAACTTGGGCCTTTAGTAGTTACCCAATATAACCAGCAATTACAGGTTATCCTTGATTTATGACCACAATAGTCATAAGTCTATTTTGACTTTTGGTTCTTTTTTGTAAATATTTCTTCAATGTGTAGTAGCTGTAGAACATTATTGTCTATCCAGTTTGCACAGAACTTTCTTCCATTTTAATTAGAGGACAGAGAAACATTACAGCACCCCAGCAGGATGCAGGAAAATGTACCTACAGAAGTCAGTACCGTCCCTCCTCCAAGTCATGTAACAATAAAAAACCCAGCAGCTAATCCCCGACGAATGCGACGGCTTATTGCTGAAGATCCTGAATGGAATTTAGCCACAGTTCCACAGCTCACAGAGCTCTGCATCCAGCACATAATCAACAATTTTGAAAGTAAGTCACATAGCTTTTTTATATAAATTTAAGTTGCTGAAGAAGTGTCATTTAGTACAGCTTGGAAATATCTATTATTGAGTGTCAATTGAGGAAAAAAGAAATTAGATGGAATGATTTTTTAAAATCTGTTAAACAGTTGTACCACAGACCAAATCCCTGCTAACATTGCTTAGTGGTACATGGTAAATGAACCCTAATGATTTAAGTAATTCCTCTGCCTGAGAATGGTAGTTTTGTGAAGACAACTAAATATTCTAAATAATGTTCTCATCATACTCACCAAACTGGGAAGATTTTCTTTTTTGATGGAAGACATACTAAAACATCATACTCTAAGCCTACTCTAAGTGACATACAGATAAATTGGTCAAAAGCTCTCTATAATCCCTTGAAATTTCTTTCCAACCAGAAAATCCTATCTTGGAAAGGCTACTTCCTGATCACCAAAAGAAAGTGCTAGAAAAGATTTCTACAAGCCTACCCCTTAAGGTGACTGCAAATTTGATCAGCGATGAAGGCTACTGGAAACGGTGCTGTACTGGAAGATGGACAGTTTGCGATGTATCCGCCTATGGAAACAGTTGGAAACGGATGTTTTTTGAACGCCATTTGGAAAACATTTTGAAGTTTTACATTCCAGATACTACTAATCCCAATGAAGTTCTCGACCTCATTCCACTCTGCAAGGAATACGTAAAAAAACTAGAGATTGACCAGTTCCTTCCACCAGTGAAGCTAGATCAAAAAAAGGAAGAGGAAGATGTCTCTGATACTGAAAGTGATGCTGGAATAGACGAACCTTCCATGGACCATTTTGACTTGAGCCTGCTTCTTCCTGTACTCCCTCATCTTGAGGAACTGCATCTTTCATATGGTGTTAAAGACTGTGGCATGAATTTTGAATGGAATCTTTTCGAATTCACTTATCGAGATTGTTGCTCACTGGCCAATGCTATTAAGAAATGCCCAACTCTAAAAGTAATTTTTCTAATGCAGTCTTACGTAATCTTAAACATAAAATGAGAATTTCTCAAAATTGTAAACTAGCCTGAATCATGGTCTGACCCAGTTCTTCCATGGTAAGATGCTGGGCTTGTCGGCTGGAAAGCCTAAAGCCCAGGTTTAAGACCTGAGCATTGCGCGATGGGGTGAGTTACAGACTGCGCCCCAGCTCCTGCCAACCCAGCAATTCAAAAGCATGCAAATGTGAATACATAAATAGGTATCACTTCAGTGGGAAAGTAACACCTCTCTGTGATCAGGGGTGGGTTGCTACTGGTTCGGGAAAACCCATAGCTAGTTATATGGCCAGTTTGGCGAACCAGCAAATCTCACCCCTGGCTGGCCCTGCCCGCACCACCCCCACCCCTTCCAGGAGTCCCCACATGGACCGTTTTGATGCCAGGTAAGTGCAGGGCCCGCGCAGAGGCTCGGGGAGGGTGAAAAGGCAAAGGAAATTACATAACTGCCCACATGCCAGTAGCAGTCAAGTAATATTATGTGGATGCCAATTGCTTTGAGTATCTAAGGCACAATCACATTTTCTTTATTGGTTATTTAAATGCCAATATAAACCCTGCTGTTCTGATACTGTTGCACAACTGATAATGTGATTCCCCTCCTCCCACAAAATATGGGTAATGGAATGAAATAGAAACAAATAATTTTCTAGGACAAGATAGACTCTATCAGACTCAAAACTCTGTGGGATTCAAATCCTCATTTTTTGGCCCAATGTCCAGCCCTTGAACCATAATTTTTTAAAATTTATTCCACAGTTTCTCACCAGTTTTGCCACTTTATAAATAAGTATATCGCTGGGGAGGGGCGAGATCCATTCCCTTGTCCTCCAAATCCACCCCTTCTCACAGGTGTACTTGACCTGGTCCTCAACTGTTCCAAAAATAATAAGTTTTGCCCTTAGCCATCGTATCCTGCCCACCCTTGTTTTAGGCATCTAGAGTGAAAAAAAGTGTCTTACTGGAAATATGTTAATATCTTTATACATGTGACCTTATTGTGTTTTTGCAGGTGTTCAAGCTGACCCGGAGCAAAGTGGATGACGATAAAGCTAGGATACTGATCCAGCACTTATTAAACCACCCTTCATTGGTAGAATTAAACTTATCCCACAATTTGATTTCAGACAGAGGAGCACGAGCTATTGGCAAGCTAATTAACCACAGTAAGATGGTAAAGCTTAACATCTGTGACAACAGGATTCGGGCTCAAGGAGCCCAGGCTATAGCTCATGCACTGTCAAAGAATTCTATTTTGACGTCTCTCAATTTCCGCCTCAACTGCATTGAGGATGAAGGAGGCCAAGCCATTTGCCATGCCCTGCTACTTAACAGCACACTGACGAATCTTCACTTGGGTGGCAATGAATTGTCAGAGCCAACAGCCACCCTTTTCTCTCAAGTCTTGGCTCAGAACACTGCTTTGTCTCATATCAACCTCTCCTGCAATCACATTGGACTAGTAGGTAACCTTTCTGAAATGGGAATATATGCCTCTTACGCAGTGCTTAGATTTTTTTTTTTAAAGTATTGTCTTACAATTTCGTCAGGAAATTAGATCTGGAGGATAAAACTGGGACATAATATTGGTCTGGCTTAGACATTTAGGAGAATTCCCAGACATAAAAGGCATTACAGAGACAGGTTCTTAGCAGAGAGCAGTTGACCTTTCTTCCTGTAGAAAACAAGGCCAGTAGATAAAACTTTACCTTATTTTCCTCAGTCTTTGGCTATCTTAAAAAAAATGCAGGATTTTTATGCAACATCTGCCAATTGCAACATCTGCCTGACAAATAGGAATATCGATAAAGTTATGCTGATAAACAAAAAAGGAAGGTAGATTATTTTTTGCCTGCAGTCCTTGAGTATTTCTTGGCAAGGACCTCTAAAGGATCCCCAACCTCTGGTCCGTGGATCAGTACCAGGTCACAGCATGCCAGAGACAGGGCTGCACAATCAAGTGAAGCCCCATCCTTGCGATGCAGGCAGCCTTCAAAACCATGCCCCCTCCAGTCTGTGGAAAAACCTCTCTCCATGAAACTGGTCCCTGGTGCCCAAAAGATTGGGGGCCGCTGCTCTAAAACATCCCTTTCTATGTTAGTCATTTGCTAAGGTAAATAAATAAATAAATAAATAATAAAATAATAAATAGGGGGCGTGAATAAGCGCACCAACGTGCCTACCGTCCCTGTCCTATTGTTCCTTTTATTCTTCTTATATGTATCCATGTATTCATAACTATGTTTTTACTTATACCTATTATCTTGTAAGCAATTGACAAACCAAATAAAATAAATTAAAAATGTAGCTCAGGCCCAAAATAGGCAGCAAAGCAAAAATGCCTCTGTGCTGGAAAACCAGAAATGTGAGGAGCAAGGTGACTCTGCATTATTGCTCTCAATTGAGAACTATATTTGAGAACTATCTCATTTGAGAACTCAATGGAGAACTATTTGAGAACTATGTGACACAATAAGGAGTCTTTTTGATCTAAAGTTGGCTTTTGTTTTGAGAAAATAGTCCACTCGACTTGCAATTGTATCTGCAGATTAAAATACTATAATACAATATATTCTATTCAGATGTAGTAAATTTCTTTATCATTCTGTGGCAGATTAAATATTGACCCAAAGAGTAAGTTTGGTGTAATAATGAAGGCATCAGGTTGAAAACCAGGTGACCTAGTTCTACTCCCAGACCTGATGCCAATTGGGTGACTTCGGGCCAGTCACTTTCTCTCGGTCCTAGGAAAGAGGCAATGGCAAACCATTTCTAAAAAACTTTTCGAAGAAAACTGCAGGACTTTTCCAAGGAGTCTCTGAGAACTAGACACGATAAAAAAAATGTTCTGACCTGGTAGTTCTAGGCTTATAGGCTAAACTTATAGTACTGCAGAAGTTATCTTTGTTGCAGGAATCAAATCAGTGAACAAATCAGTCTGGTTTACTTCTATAAATACATACTTTTGCAATTCAGCATTAGACACCATTTTACTTTGATTAAAATATGTATTTTCCTTACTTCCATAATGCTTTCATTGTAACATTAAGTTGCATGCATTTGCCAAGCTTGGCTTTTCAACAGAAGCATTTTGTTGCTTGCCTTGGATTTCAGACATTGCTTGATTCTTAGTTTATGTCCCTATTTTGACAGTCAAACTTGTATGTAGACCAGTAGCCTCCAACTTTTGGGGCCCCGGGGATCAATTCCATGGAGAGAGGTTTTTCTGTGGACCAGAGAGAGTGTGGTTTCACATACTACCTACATCCCATAGGTGGAGCTTCGGTTGCTTGCACAGCCCAGTTGCTAGCATGCCACGGACCGGTGCTGGTCCATGGACCAGGAGTTAGGGACCCCTGATTTAGACTATTAGCATTCCAGTAGCTTATACACCAAATATGTAATATACACATTTGTTATAACATTAATATAATTTCAGAATACAACTAAAATATCAATAAGATACCTTCTTTGTGACTATGCAGTTAAATAAGTTTTCAAGAAATGGCAATACATCTTTTGATAACCAAAAAGATTTCATGTAAAAAATACAAATACAAATGAGAAGTATTCTCAGTTTCCAGATGACTATTACCAGTACATATAACCTTTAATCTAATTTTGTGATTGATTTCTTTATTTTAAAAGCATAGCATTAAGAATAGTAATAGAATTCAGAACAGGGAATTAATGAAGACACATCAGCTCCTGTCAAAGGATCACTGGCTTGATTTCATTCCTCAATTTCAGTAATATTCCTGACTTCTTTGTCACCTATCTAGTAGCACATGTGTCTTGGTGTCATTTGATAATTCTCATTATGCCAATATTGTTTTTATGGACCTGCATAGGTGCATTAGAATTGAAGGAATTAATGGATTTTTATTCTCTCTTCCTGCATGTCAAAGCTTTGAAAAATTGCCTACCATAACCACCTAGTATTTTCTAAGTAAATCCTTTATTATCTCCTGACAACATAATGAAGCAATAGGAATATTTAGCTGTCGGTGCGTCTTTATGACTGAGAGCATAATCCATAATCCATTATGTCAGCAGTTACCTTTAAGTTGCAGCAATTTAAAAGGGTGGTGTCATGAACACAGATTTGGGATCACAGTAACTCAAAATAAAAAAATACCCAAACTACCTTTTACTCTGTTCCTGAGCTTAAAAACTATTCAGTGCAGCTGAGCCTTCCTGAGAAATATTCTAGGCTGCTCTGATTCTCCATACAACAGAGTTGAAAGCCCAACCACCCCCAGAGGAAGGACATAATTTCAGTCTTGGTTTTGGGAAAGAATTTGAGTGCCCTGAAAGTTCAGAGGAACACTGGAACTGAGCTAGAATGAAGCCAAACCCATTTTTTTCAGCATGACATACCTGGAAAAGAGTTCAGTTATAAAACTTCTTAGAGGCATTAGGTGAAAATGAGTTATGGATTGGGGGGGAAACATGTGCACATTTTACAATATCTCAAGTAGCTCTTCAGGCTACTTTTGTACATTTTGAAGTAACATTTAGGTTGTGAAAGGCTATTTTGGTCTTCATCTTAAGTCTCTTTATTGGTTTCAGGATGGAGGGAAGCAATTGCTGGAAGGCATGTCTGATAACAAGACGGTAGTGGAATTTGATCTCAGACTGGCAGAGGTGGGACAAGAGAGTGAATATCTTATTAATCAGACTATAAAGGCCAATCAGGAATTAGCCCGTCTCAGAAACCTGCACCATTCCACCACGTAACATGGACCAAAAACTACTGAGGAAAAATATCCTGTGTAGTATAGTTTTGATGTTGCCTGTTCACTTACATTTGTTGAAGCATCTATTTTTTAAAAAAAATGTTAGTATGATAGAACTTAACTGTTTTCCTATTCTTCATTTACTTCCTATCTCCCTTTTATGTATTTCTCCTCTCCCCTTTTTATTCAAAGTTTTTTCTACTAAATGAGGATATGATAAAATAAGTAGTAAAACAGATTTTAAAAAAATAAGTAAAAAGATTCAGCTTCCCCTAGGCTTTATTTTAAACCACCTCACCTTCTAAGGAATTGATAGCACAAGGCTCAGTCCAGGCGCTGTTCTGTTTTCAGTCTGCTTTCATTCTTAATAAATATCAGCATTAATGCAAGGAAAGTTTCAATTTGAGCTCACAATGAATGATGCTTAATGTGAGAATTAGAAATTGCAAGACCAGAAACAAAAGGCCTAAATCAAAATTCTGCTATTATAAATACAGTACATTGCCCTCAGTCAATTATTCTGGCACACAAGTAGGAAGAAGAGGCATAAGATTTGAATCTTGGCTGTATTAGATGTGACACTATTGGTATGAGTCATGAAGTTGGTTTATTTGATACTAATAGCTTTATTAGTATCTGTAATAAAGCTGTCTTATCAAGAACTATGTCCTTGAATCTTTGCTTCTGAGCTTTTTAATTCTATATCAGTCTTCTAGGTACAGCCTAAAATTTAATCCAACAAGTGTCCTTGAATTACAGTATTACATAATTCTGTAATTACATAATATACAAATATGTATCAGCTTTAGCTAGTGATATCAAATTTCTATTTTTACTCAAAACTTGGGCAGAGAAATGTATTATACACATGATAATATGCTTCTTAATCACTGCCTGAAAACATTTTAGCACATATCTGAAACCAGGATAACCTTTTAGCAGTTTAAATAAGGATTGGAGCAGCGGATAGTCAATTTCAGCTGCTGAGAGACAATGAAGTATTGGATCAGAAAAAGCAGAGACTACTCCAGAAACTGACATAAAGGAGATAATCAGACAAAAGAGCAAGACCAATAGATTACAGTGGCTGCCAGAAGTATGAGAAGTAGAAGATATTCTACATTACTGGATCACAAAAAGAGTTTTCAGGTCCGCAAAGAAGAAACCAATCTTGATCCTTCAAAGAAAGAAAAAAGAGCCACTGAAACAGGAGGCTGAAGAGCAGAGAGAATATAGCTTTAAAGAGATAACTGTGGGAATTACTGATATATTACCAAGTGGAACTGAAATACATCCCAATTGGACCTATCCGCTTACAGTAGATGCTGTATGCCAAGCATAAGTACTAAAAATCATAAAGGCTTATGAAATTGGTTAATAATTATCTTGCTAAACCAACTCAGAGAAATATCACACAAAGAATAGCTACAACTGCATTCTGATGCAATTTAACTTCTTGGAAGTTGAGGTTCAGACAATATTTTAGTCCACCCTTCCAGTTCAGAGAAGCAGAGCAGAAAGTGAAGAGTATTTCATCTGAATAACTAGTCGCAGAAATAACGTTGACAAGAACATTTGATGTCGGAGATCATCATATTTAAATGATGGACTGCTAGCATTAAATAGGTCATACTTCAAAAGAACCAGTAAAATATGTTTGGCTGAAGTGTGACAAAAATTATTAGGAGAACTTTAAATTGGAATTTTTGGAGTTTCTAAATGAAAATCCTAAAGATGAGGTCTTCAGATACAAAACTATACTGGAAGAATATGTACTGCAATCCATTAAAGCAATCAATCAAAAATTACAGCACTTGAATTATAAAGTTGGTGGCTTTTGTTTCTTGAAATGCAAAATTAACAAGGTGCGCTTAATATTTCAAGTAGAGAAAGGGGAAATAGTAAATCATCATCTGTTGGGATCAAATATTGAAAACGTGCTATAGTGTCAGAAGCTCTGAATCTTTGGTATGTATTGTAAAGTCACAAGAATGTAAAGGACTTTCATGTTGCAATGTGATATTGCTTTGGGCATTTTGACAAAACATCAGATTTTAAAGACACCTTTGGAACAGCACACAGCTGTAATGACTCCCATGATTAAAATATAACAATGGAAGCAGATAGTTTGTTCAAAATATAGAATCATAGGGCTGGAAGGACCCTGGAGGTCTTCTAGTCCAACGTGCCCCGCCACCATCCAAAGCAGGATTCCTTATATCATCCTGGACAAGTGGAATGTCCAATTTTTTCTTGACAACCTTCAGCAATGAACATCCATACCTGCAGGAGGCAAGCTGTTTCATTGGTTAATTGCTCTCACTGTCAGGAAATTTCTCCTTAGTTCCAGATAAGTAAAGTATATTTATTCAGAAATCCGACTAAATAAATTTGGCAATATTGTAAAGGACATCTAGATTAAAATGTGAAGGAATTAATAAAAGCAATAATATCATTGGTGTCTACTATCAGCCATCCAATTAGAGGATATGGATAACACCTTTCAAAGGAAATTCTGGATCCTTCAAAGAACCATGAATTTTGGGAAATTTTAATTATTGAGACATCAAGGGATGACTAACAGATCTTGGGAACATAGAAGGAAAGTCATTGGAGGAGAGAAACTATTAAAGGAAAAACTCCTTAGTGGGGGTGGGGGTGAAGATTGAGAGAAAGAATGTAAATACTCTTCCTTACACTAGCTAGGTAAAAGTGAATTTAGAAAATTGCTTTGACAGACTTTCAAGTATCTTATTATATTTACTCCACTAGCAATAAAATTCATTCTAGAAACCCAAGTGATTCTTGTTTTTTGGATTTTGCAGCCTTGAAGAACTTGCTTCAGTCTGGAAAGCTGTCATATTCTCTCATCAGAGAGGCATCAGATCAAACATTCTGAGCCTAAACGATGGCTACAGATCTTGAGGAACCTCACTGTCAGCAGAGCAAGTTGTAGAGACATGATTAGATACAGAGAACATCTGCTTGTGTACTGTTATGATACAAAGACCACAGCATTTGGATCAACATTTACCTCAGCCTAAAGCAAGCCCACAGGTTTGCTGTTGATAGTTCATTGCCCTGGCAGCCTGCCAGGGAAGTTCAGGGGGCTCAGGATACATTCCTAAGCTTCAGTTTTCAGTAATGAATACATTTTTTTTACAGCAAATCAACAGAATTTTCTACAAATCAGGTCTTAGCCTTTTGAAAGAGAGGCCAGATAGGATGATGGAACAATGCCATACTAGAAAACTATTAAGATTTTAAGTAATTTAGAGCTGCCTTTGGTGATTACCTAGAAGAGGAGCTGCTAATTGGGAGATTTATAAGTTGTGTGCTAGGAATGTGTACTGGAATGATTTTGCCTTTATCAAGCAGTTTTGGGAAGGTCTTCTCTGACTACTATGATCAATTAGCATGACAAGGCACACCGAGAACCCTGGAAGAGTTATTTCAATGTTGTGTGGTGATCGATAGAAGAATTGAGGCATGGAAGAGATTAAAAGGGGAGACAGTTCACAGCCTTTCTTTTTGGGGAAGAGTAAACTAGCTATTATTTGCCTCTCATTGGGCATGTTAACTACACTATCAACTTGCTTTTTGCAGCCCAAATCACAGTTAGATGACAAAACCCCTTGTCCGCTTAGGAGTTAACAGTCTTAAAGAAGTTTCTGAACATTCTGAAGAAAGAATTCATTCCCTCACCATCTCCTGCATCTGCATTACTATTTTTATAGAAAAGAAAAATAAGTTTTGAGAGTAGTTCATGATGATAGATTTATGTTTGTGACAATTAGAAATCACTAGTCACTGCCTCTTTCACATCTGCTGGAGCATCTTCAGAAGGCATGTATTTTCAGTCAATGTGACTTGAGAGAAACTTACCATTTGATTTGGATACAGGATGATCACAAACACTTAGCAGCCTTTGACATTTGTATGGGAAATTTCAATACACTATAGTACACTGTGGTCCATTGTCCAGTAGTCCCTCTTAAATTAATGAATGAGAGATTCATAGATGTTCTGGACAAATATATGGCAGTTACCTCTGGATGTTTTGATTTTTCCCCCAAAAGCTGTTTTTATCCATTCTACTCAGGTCAGAAATGTGTAACTGCATGTCTGCAAATACAAGCTGCATACTAAATTGTAAACGTATTTAACTTTCCAGTCTTGGACTGTTTAGATTATCTGATTTAAAGAGAAAAAGGTCAAATGGATCCTGCAAAGGTTCAATCCATTCTTGCAGGGCAGGCACTTAGAATTATTAAATATGTCAAGTGTTTTTTGGGCTTTGCCAACTTTTGCAGGCACTTCATTCTTGATTTTTGTCAAGTGCTAAAGTTTACCAACTTAACTCCTGAAAAAATAGCACCAATTTAAGTGGTTCCTGCAGGGGTGGGATTCAACTGGTGTTAGTACTGGTTTGGTGATTATGTTTTGGGCAAATCACAGGAATTTGGAACCCATGCATAAGGTTCAGAATATCACCCAATGTCAGATCAGATGGCCACAATTTTAATCTCTACATTGCTCATGTTCCTAGCTCATACAATAAAATGTCAGGTGCTCTCTCTCACACACAATAATTATATTCCATGTCTGCTTCCTTTTGCCACAAACTTGACAATTCCCTGCCCCACTCCCCATGCCAAAGGGACACTTCTAGGATATTAGGCATATGGAAACAGTGGATCTGTTAGATTGGATTTACTTACAATTACAGGACCCATGTCTCAGGACTCAGATGAATGACTGACAAGGAGACCCGCAGATTAATTCCCCCCCCACCCCAATAGCTGGAGAACACTTTAAACACATTGTGACTTTCATTCCTTTCAATCACATAACCTTTCTTCCAGTCTCCTCTCAAAGGCAACCAACTCACTTTTAACAGATTTGACAGATGCAAATGCCTGCTTCAGATGGATGACCCGCAGAGAGAGACTCTTCTCATTGTTCTGTAGCTGGGGAACCATATTTTCATAGTAGTCATTT